TTTTTTAAAAAATGGCCTCACTTGTTTATTTTATTTTGTTATGTTAATTGCATTCAATATGTAATTTTTTACATATTATCTTCTTGCTTATTTACATTAGAACACATATTGCAGCGGAGAAGGAAAATGCAATCTGTACCTGATACTGTCTGCAAACCACACCAACATATTCACTAATGTGTTCATTAAGTGTTAAATAAGGAAGTATTATGTGTTTTTTACTATCCATAAATCCTTAGTATATTATTATATAGATGTCTAAGAGTGTTTTAATGATGTTTAGGGGAACTGGGTGGGTTTTTTACATGTACTAAGAATGCATTATTGTTCTTCCCATTTAAAATAATAACATATTTGCTTTGCTACACAAAAATTTGCCTTCCCGTATGTTTTCAGAAGTGGATTACATTCAGATAACTAGGAATGCCTATAATTATATTCCTTGAGCATTTACTATGTTAGGCTTTGTGTTAAGTATTTCACATACATTCTCTCTTTAAAATAAACTGCCTTAAAATAGATAAACAGCAAGTTTATACTGTATAACATAGGGAACCATATTCAATATCTTGTAATAACCTATGGTGAAGAAGAATATGAGAATGAATGTATGTATGTTCCTATGTGACTGAAGCACAGTGCTGTACACCAGAAATTGACACAACATTGTAAACTGACTATGCTTCTGTAAAAATATATTTTAAAAATAAATAGATAAAATAAACTGCCTCAACAGAGGTACCTAGGAGAAAGAATAGAGAATGGATGTGGAAGAGAGGTAGAAGACTTCATTTTAAATTTTTAGAAAATATGTAAGTAATTCTGGTTCTTAATCCTGAGATGAGATAAAAATCCACTGTTCTCACTGTAAAGATAAGACATTCCCATCCCTCACTTTCCATTAACTTCTGCGTCCTCTGAATTCTGGCTTATGCTTCGCCATTGCATTAAAACTCTTATCAGTCATGTTCATCAACAGCCTCTTGTGGTAAACCCAATGGGTTTCAGTTCTTATCCTGTGTGACTTCTTGACTTTTTCTTTTTAACACTTTTGATCATTTAGTCTTTTTAAAATATTCTATTCTCAAATATGTATCCTCATGCCAGATTTCTTGCCTGATCTGTAGACCCTGAATTTATTTGCACCCTGGGCATCACAACTTAGATGTCTTATGGACACACCTATAATTCAGTTATTTGAAACTGAATTCATCACATCTCACTCCCCTAAAATTTGCTCTTCCTCCTGTGTTTCCCATTTCAATAAATGTGTTCATGATTACCTCCATTTCTTGAGGCAGAATTAAGGCATGATTCATGGATTTTCTCTCTCCTTTAGCTCTATTATCCAGCCAGTCATCAAATCCTGTTAATTCTGTCTCTTCAGTAGCTCTTAAACCCATCATGTTTCCAACCTCCAGCTACCATTTTAGTTCTGAATCTCATAATATTTTGACTATTTTATGCAGCAGTTTCCTAATTGGCCTTCCAGATGGACAACTACATACTAACATAAACTGTTTGTTTTCCTGAATTGATCAAATACACATGCTAACATAGATAAAGGAGGATGCTTGACATAGTTCTCAGACCATGCAGAACATGGGGCAGGTTCAGCAAGACTGCAGGAAGAAGGCAGTTGGAGGAACCAATAAAGAACAAGCAGGTGTTATGTTCAGGGGGATGATGGAGAGCAGCTAAAAATGATTACCAAGAATCATACAGGAAATGCCAAAGACTGAGGTAAGAACAAGAACCAAGGATTGGCAACTATTGAAACAAACCAAGTGGCAGTAGCAGGATTCATAGGATTCTACAGAATATCTTATTTCTTACACAGACCATTTTTAATGGACCAGGTGTATACTTGCTGCTATTTGCATAATGGCATCTTAAAAGATGTCATGTAGCATCTTTCTTGAGATACATGGTCTCAAGAAGTGGGGGTAAAACATTTCAGCTGTGTATCAAAGTAGGAGATTGCTGAATTGAGCCAATGGTTAAAAAAGGGAATGACTGAGTTAGTTATTTGGGGTAAAGGTAATATTTATGTCTAATTGTATGTCTTTTGCATCTTCCCTTCCTCAACTTCATTCTAGGATTCCTTAATTCAGAGAACTGCCTTTAACCCATATCCCTCTGTCTCTGCTCATAATACCTGCTTAGGCTACATCAGGCTTCTCCATAGTATAATTTTGATTACTTTGAAGCAGGATTCTGTACAATTTGTTCTCGCCACTTACAATGGTATTAGAGAAATGTTGACATGATATGTTGATCTTTGGATAGAACAGTAAATAAGCTATAAAAATAATTAATTACAGATAAATAATGTATAGCAAAGGATATCATTTTAGCTAAAATATATATATGGAACTTGGAATATTCTAAAATACTCCAATAACTTTCCTTGGATGTAGATTAAAATAATATTTTGTTTTCCAATCAACATCAATTTCTTGCAAATAGTTTACATGCTCTGGGTTTAAGAAAAATTACCTTCTCTTAATTTTGTATTTTGTAAAAATTTTAGTGAAAGTAGGTAAAATTATTTATTGTCTATCCAAATGTTAAAGATCTATATAATTAAAAATTTGAGATCATATTCCTTGAATAGTTGATAAATAAAAGCAATGAACAAAGCAGAATTTGGAAATTGTATTGATGTTTCCAATTTTATGAAATTTAACCTAATGAAGGCAAAATAAACATGGAGATCTGCAAGGTCTGTTTAGCTCTTCATTCTGAAATGCTAAATATTTTTATTTCTTTTAAAACTGATTTTGTGAGTTCCATTGTCCTTAGGGGTGATTCTGAATGCTATCTTTCTAAAGATGAAGAGTTAAGGAATGGATTGTATGAAATGATAATAGTAAAGAGTAATTAATAATGATTATAATAGCCATTAATTAATAAACCCATTATAATTACTTATTACAGTGATTTCAAAAAATGACTTTATATTAATGGATCAATGAGAGAAAAAGGAGAGTCTTTAAGTTTCCAGGAGAGCAGGTGTGTGGAAAGTTAATAGAGGATAGAGCTTGTTAAAGCTATCGTCTGAATGGCTTGTCCTTAGACATTTTTCACATATCTTCTGAGAAGACAGGATTTTTTTTTTCTCCTAAGACTCTCCATGTCCAAATGGTTCAGTGCTGAAAAATTCTCTTAATATTTCCTCCTGCATACATCTCAAGGAGCAGCTTGTTGATCCCACCTGATGATCTGATTTCCGGTGAACTGAAAAAGCATATCTGCACAAACAATGAAGGCTCTGAATCAACCACTGTGTCTCTGGCTGATACAGCTATAACACATCAGTTTCTAGTGTCACATTGTCTCCTGTACAACCATCTCACATTTTTATCATACTTTATAGCTTGAAAGGGATTTCATGCATATTCTAACATTGGGTTCTGAAGAAAATCCCATGAGATGGGTAGGGCAGATTTTTGCCAAGATATACAGATAGAAAAACATAGACATTTGGAACGTGGCCATGAAGTATGATAAATATGAGGCCAAGTTAGATCTCCCTTCTAGTAAGGAGTGTGGCACAGATGGGAAGTTGACTGAGCAAGCATCTCAACCGCAGGAAGGCACAGTTGAACACCTAGAGATGATTGCACAAAGAGAAGTCAGCTTTTTCAATGATCCTCATCTCAATACCAAAAGATCCTTTGTGTTTTTCTAGCAAGAGTCCCCAGTTCCAGGACCCGAGGTTTCCCCTCTACGTATTGGCTTCAAAACAGCTTGATTTGGATCCCTTCCCCAGTAGTCTGAACAGAAAGGAAGTGTACTCATCTCATTAGATTATATGGAACATAGAAATCAGGTCGGGGGATGCAGTGGTGGAGCCTCCTAAAAACCTAAGTTTCTTTATCACTGAACTGGTCCTGGTTAAAGCTAACATTTTCTACTAAGCGGTAACAAACAAACAAACAACAAAAAAATCTCACAGACACTGTAGAGAGACAGTTGATGTATCTGAAGAGCTCTTTTAACCCTAAAGATGGTCAAGAAACAGTGAGGGGAGTTGGGTAAAGCAACTGCATCTTCAGAGTTAAGGCAATGTCTTGGTCACTGACTGATACTAACAACAGCAGGAAAAAAGTCATTGGCAAGATAATGAGAGAAGGAAAGAGGAAGGAAAGGATACTCAAAAAATAAAAATAGGAGACACGGACAAAGTACAAAGCTGAACTTACTTTTTTTCCATTTTGAAAAACTATCCAGAAAAAAATGATAATCATAGCTATTACATATAGGTTTAAAATTCAGGAATTAATTATATACCAATATAAGATAAGGTATAAGTTTATGTCCAAGATCAATAGCACGTTTTTCTTTGTGCAAATCTTATTTCTGAAATCTAACAAGAGGCATGAGGATTGACCCTGGCAAAAAGAAGGACACAGTTCCTTTCTTCTTTTTTTTGTTCTCTTCCCTTGTGATTCGGTCACTATCTTTAGTGTTGTTTGGATTCCTTTTTCTTTTTTTGTTTGTATACCTATTACAGACTTCTGGTTTGCAGTTACCATGAGGTTTTTGTATAGCAGTCTCTCTTTCTCTATATGATTCCTTTAAGTTGCTGATCACTTAATTTCAGACGCATTTTAAAAACCTGCATTGGAGCTCAGAGCATAGCTCAGTGGTAGAGGGCATGCTCAGCATGCACGAGGTCCTGGGTTCAATCCCCAGTACCTCCATTTAAAAAAACAAAACAAAAAACCTGTGTCTGTACTCTCTTCCCATGACGATTATTGTCTTTGAGATCATATTTTACCTGTAATTGTTTTGTATACCCCTTAACTGCTTATTGTGGATATAGAATACATTTGTCTTTTAACCTCCCTACTAGCTTTGTGTGTGGATGGTTTCCTACCTTTACTGCATGTTTGCTTTTGCTGGTGAGCTCTTTCATTTCATAATTTTCTTGTTTCTAGGTGGCCTTTTCTTTTTTCGCCTGTACAAGTTCCTTTAACATTTGTTATAAAGCTGGTTTGGTGGTGCTGAATTCTTTTAGCTTTTGCTTGTCTGTAAAGCTTTTGATTTCTCTATCAAGTCTGAAGGAGGGCCTTGCTTCGTAGGGTATTCTTGGTTGTAAGTTTTCCCCCTTTCATGACGTCAACATATTGTGCCACTCCCTTCTGGCCTGCAGAGTTTCTGCTGAAAAATCAGCTGATAGACTGATGAGTGTTCTCTTGTGTGTCCTTTGTTGCTTTTCCCTTGCTGTTTTTAATATTCTCTTTATTTTTAATTTTTGTCATTTTAATTACAATGTGCCTTAGTGTGTCCCTTTGTTGGTTAATCCTATATGGGACTCTCTGCATTTCCTGGAGTTTGGTGTCTGTTTCCTTTCCCAGGTTAGGGAAGTTTTCAGCTATTAGATTTTCATATATATTCTCAGCCCCTTTCTCTGTCTCTTCTCCTTCTGGGACCCATAATGGAAATAGTAGTGCAGTTGGTGTTGTATCAAAGGTCTCTTAAACTGCCCTTGTTTCTTTTTATTCTTTTTTCTTTTTTCTGTTTCGTGGCCATGATTTCCACTACTCTGTCTTCCAGCTCACTTGTCTGTTCCTCTATATCATTTAGTCTACTATTGCTTTCTTCTAGTGTTTTTTCCATTTCACTTATTGTATTCTTCATCTCTGGTTGTTCTTTATATTTTCTAACTCTTTATTGAAAACGTCTAGCTTCTTGTTCTGTGCATTCATTCTTCTCCCGAGTTCTTTCATCATCTTTGCAGTCATTGCTCTGAATTCTTTCTCAGGGAGATTGCCTGTCTCCGCCTCACTTAGTTCTTTCTTCTTGGGTTTTATCTTGTTCCTTTGTCTGGAACATGTTCCTCTGCCACCTCATTTTGTCTAAGTTGCTATTCGTATTTTTATGTATGTGGTAGGTTAGTTACATTTCTCGACCTTGGAGAAGTAACCTTCTGTAGGAGATGTCCTATGGGTGCCAGCAATGCCCTCCCCTCTCACCACCCAAGCTATGTGTTCTAGGGATTCTCCCTAAGAGGGCTGCATGGGTCCTTCTGTTGTGGCAGGCTGGCTATGTGGGCAGTCTGGTAGGCTTGGTTGGTCCCTGGCTCAGCTGGCTGCCAGGCCCTGCCTTGTGTGGATGCTGCTGGCTGCTGGTTAGTGGGGCCTGGTCACAAGGCGGCTAAATGCAGAACCCTGGGGGCGCAGGGCTTGTGCTGGCTCACTGATGGGCAGAGTCAATGTCAGGAAGACTCTGGGGCTGTTGCCCACCCACTGACAAGTAAAGCCAGGCCCTGAGGTAGTGCTGGACTATTGGCAGGCAGAGCTGGGTCCTGGAGTCTGGCTGTAAGGCCCAGGGTTCCCAGAGCTGATGACAGATTGCTGGTGGAGGGTCCTGGCTCCTGACACAGTTGAGTATGGGGTCTGGGGTGTTCCAAAGCTTGTGTTGGCCTGCTAGTGGGCAGGGCCAGGGCCCAGCTGATCTCAGGGCCCAGCTTGTATCAGGTTAGGGTCTGGCTGTAGGCAGGCTGGACCCGCAGGCTGCAAGATTGTAGTTTTCTTGTGTCTGATGTCTGCCTTCTGGTGAGTGAGACTGGTCTAGAGGCCATAGCAGGCTCCCCAGACGGCAGGGCTGGTGCCTGCCCACGGGTGAGTGGAGCTGGGTCTTGGCCATCTTGTGGGCAGAGTCATAGGTAGAGGCCTGTCTGGGGCAGCTGTGAGCTCAGGAAGTCTTTAGGCAGCCTGTCTGCTGATGAGTGGGGCTCTGTCCCCTCCCAGTTAGTTGTTTAGCCTGAGGCATCCCAGCACTGGTGCCTATAGGCAGTAGGGTGGGGCAAGGCCTTGGTGCTAATGAGCTAGAGAGTGGGTCCCATGATGGTGCCTGCCAGCTTCCCAAATATGGCTGCTGCCAGTGTCTCTGGCCCCAGGGTGAGTTGTGAGTCCACCCCTCCTACCTGTCTCTCTGTAGTTTCTTCTTTATGTCTTGAGTTGTAGAAGATTTTTTCTGGTAGGTGTGGGTTTTGGTCTTTCTTATCCATGGTTGTTCTGCAGATAGTCATGGCTTTGGTTTGCTTACAAGAGGAGGTGAGCCCAGGGTCTTTCTACTTCACCATCTTGGCCAATCTGCTGATGGTATCAGATGGACGTTGTTAAAAACTGAAATGTACCTAAGTCTCTATTAACACATTTTAATATATCTCTAAAATCAGAATAATAAATCATAATATGACAAGATGGAAAAACGTTTGCATTTCAGGTCATGTAAGACATGTGTATTCCTGCATTCAGTTATACATTCTACTTGCTGAATAGGTTTCAGTTTCAATTTCATTGACATATGTTTTGATAAACATAAAGTTTTAAGCATGTTCTTTTAGTAAAATGTCAATTTGCACGTATATTCAATTTGCTTCTAGTCTTTTTACCCATATGTTTATTGACTTTTAGCTGAGTCCCTGAGGTTCTTAAAAATTATGTAGGGCTATTTTCCCTTTGTCCCTGAGATTGGCACTGATCTAACTCAAGTTGTGCATTTAAAATGTTGTAAGTAAATAAACACAATATATACTATAATAAAAATAGAAAAATAAAAATAACAACCTGGAGTTATCTCAGTATTTTACTCTGTATGACACAAGGTACCCTGACAGGTAACTTAGTCACCTTCCATTCCAGAATGGAGTTGCAATGTAGTGATTTTGCACCTTATTGTGGATTTTAATAAATTTTTGCTGAAGCAAATTGGAGTTGATCGGCTCACATAGTGATACCTACTTGAGGCAGATCTATTCAGATAATTTTGCTATTTTGCTAACAATATCCCTCCCATTTGCCTCCTCATTCCATTTTTATCACACACAAAGTAGTAAAGAAAGGGAAGAGAAAACTTTGGAGATGTTGTGACAAAACACAATTGTGAAATGGAAATGCTTACTAGTTGGACCCTATTTTTTCCAGAAGGAAGTACCTTTCAGTTTACCTCTACCTTGAACAATTGTCCTGAGTGTTGATTTAGTCACCTGCCCTCAGTCACACAGTTTGTAGAAACACTAGAGACAAAATCCAAAATGTGTTGTGCTCACCTCATTTAGGACTATCTCTGTTTTTAACAGAAAAGAATGGAAAATGACTTTGAATTAAAACAGGGATCATAAACATCAGCAAGGAACTGAAAAGGGCAGTCTCACTCCCCAAATTCTTTATGGTCAACTATACGTGGTCATAAGGACCTAGAGAATTCTGAAATGTACTGTCTGAATTTTTTTTTTAATGGCTAGCATCCATTCTGATTGGTTTTTATGTCCATTCTAATTGGTCTATTTATTTTTGACAGCTTTATTGAGATAAAATTGATATATAACACACTGCTCATATGTAATTGTGTATTTTTCAAAAGTTTTTCCTATGTCTTCACCTGTGAAAACCATTACCACAATCAAGACACGTAACATATCCATCACCCCCCCGAAGTTTGCTCACGTTTTTGTAACTCCTGCCTCCTGATCCTTCCTCTAGACAATGACTGGTCTGCTTTCTGTCACTATACATTAGTTTGAATTTCCTAGACTATTATATAAATGTGTGTACTCTTTTTTTGGTGTTGCTTCTTTCACTCAGCATTGTTTTGTTGAGCTTCTTCCATGTTATAAAATGTATCGATGGTTCTTTTTTTTTTTTTGTATTGTTGAGTACTATTCCATTCTTTGACTATACTACAGCTTGTCTATCCATTCACCTGTTTATGGACAGCTGTCTAAATCTTTAGGGTTATTGGAGCTACACAGGTTTGAGCTTTTTTTAGACAGATGTGCAGTTATGATTGCATTTTGCCTATGTTTCTAAGCCTGGTTAGCAGATCATCATAATGTAACTCTTAAAAGAAGTATTTCTGTTTTACAAATGATAAAACACCAACATCTCAGGATTGGTAACCTATTACACTTTTTTCTTTAATTTAGGCTTGGTCTATATATTAAAACAACTGGTCATCTCAGTTGACAAAGTGTCTGATTAACCTGGGTAATCAAATCAGCTGATTAATAATCAAAATGGCTGATCTGAGAGCCTTGAGAACAAATATAGCTTTCTGCTGAGTTTCACTGATTCTTTACTAACTCACTCTTTTGTTTCTATTTGTTGGAGGAACTTATCTAAAACACACGATTATTAACCTTTTTTTTAATACAAATTAATTACTGCCTTATATCTATAAGCAAGTCAAGAATAAAAGATACATTTCATTGGGGGAAAATTCCACTTTATTTTATAATTTTAAGAAGTCTTTTAAAAACTAAGAATGGAATTTTTTGAAATTTGAAAAATCCATTGATATTTTTTCAATCGGTTGAGGGTATAGGGAAATGATGGGGCAGTTTAATAATTTCATTGATTGGCACTATGGGAATATACTCATATTTCACAGGTATACCATTAATAATGCCCAATCCTGCAGTCCCTTTTCATGCAGAACTCCCACTGGGATTACCACATGAGAAAGAAATGTAGGATGAAACCCGATTATTATAATTCACACGACTAATTACGACTTTGAGTTTTCCTGGATAAGCTAATTCCTTCTGTGCCCTGGGATCAGTAAGCAGGAATGCAGTCTCACAAGGACTTCACTGCATTTAACAGTACGTATATTTATAAATAAGCCCAGAGACGTTAAACAGTCCTTGAGCTCTCTGTTACTTTCTCTGCATTTTGTTTTTAAAGTAACAAAAAATTTTAAATATAAGAGAATTCCACAGGTGTTGTGGTACTAAAAAAATAAAAGTAAAAAATAAGGCACACACCAATCACGTATTTTTGGGCTCTGACTCATTTGTTTTAAATAGAATGTTTATTTTTATTGGCATCACTGGTGAATAAGACTAAAGAGGGACATGGGAAAGCAAGGATTAAAGAGGACTTGAAAGAAAGGAGAACCATAGACAAATAAGAGTTGGAAGGAAAAGAGAGAAAGAGAAGGACTGCTGTAAGATAAAAGAAGACTGGCAGGAGGGGCTCTGCTTAATTTTCTTTTTTCTTTTTTTTTTTGTGGAGAGCTTTGTGAGTGGCATAAAATGATTAGATATTCTTGAATGATTTGAAATCTGTGTTTGATTTTTTTTTTTTTTTTTGGTGTGACAAATCTCACCAACACTGATTCCGGAGTTTTTTATGATGCCACTATAAACAAATCCCTCCAACAGCCTTTCTTATTCAGGCGCCCATTGTACATCTATCTGAGAGGGAGTTTCTTTGTGTACTGAGTAATTTCCATGTTGTGAGGTTTCTTGTCTTCAGTTACCTCCAGTTTTGTGCTTTAGTCAGAAAACTCACATAGCATTCAAAAAAGAAAACTCAAAGCAACGTAGACTTTTGTGCCTTTTACAAAGAATTAGGGCTATGTGCCCTGCCAATATAGCAATATATTATATAAGGTCAATACTCCTTTTCACATGCCTCTAATACAGATGCATTTTATGAGGTAGAACAGCAAACACTGAATCACTCTAGTAGAGATACACAAAACAAGTAATTATCGCTAGTTGCAGAAAAATAATTATGCGGTTATGTGCTGAAAACCAGTTTTTAACTAGGAGGAGAAATTCTACCAAAAAAGCACGTGGAAAGGCTAAATGTGCTCTGGAAAAATAAACCATTCTACAAAACTTCCTAATGCAGCTATATCATCCAGAAGAGGTACCATACTTCTTATTTTTTTTTAAAGTAATAGCACACTGCACACTGGATGTAATACACAATGCTCATATACAAGGCACATACAATTATTGCCATTTTCAGTTGATTTTCTGTCAAAGTGACCATTTTCCTCTATTATCAATTCATTTAAT